TAAAAGAGTCTTAATAAATAAAGTTGTGATCGCATAGTTCAAAATATATGTATAAATATGTCAGATAATTCTGGTAAACTTCGTCCTCTAGATTCATTACCAGGAATTAATCAAAGGAACTAATTGTTTTAAAATCAATAATCCTAAAAATATTTGGCTAGTTTGTATGCTACTAGAGTACCTAGGTATATTGAAATAAACCTGTTAGCATTTCAGCTCAATAATATAATAATGCAGAAATGGGTGTCTGCTCAGTTGTCAATATGTTAAGGGTTCACGCGCAATGAAAGTCCAGGGTTCGACTTTCAGGAGCGTGGTAGTGAATGCACACTATTGAGAAGTCTCATACTCGAAAAAAAATGCCGTCTAGTTTTTCCAGGTTTTCACTGGTGGTCTAACTAAGATTAATTTGTGATATCTACTCTCTGAAATTACACGATTTAATGGAAATCTCTTGGAACATTTTGAGGAAAAATGATTTTCGGTAGAAGTTGCGACAGTTCTGCCGAATACTATGCTACACATATAGGTATAATATACATAAATAGTCCTTTTTGAGTAAAACAAGTTAAGATAAATGCTTACGTAGAATGGCTTCTTACTGTTTCATTAAGTAAGCATGATCAGTTTATTTTGATGTGTTCTAACATTCATCATATATTTACCCTTATTAGTATGGTTCGCCTACACTAACCAATCAAGATATTTCATAGATCTCTTTAGTTTCTTCCTTACAATCACAAAAAGGAAAAAATGACTTATTTAATAAGAATGAACAAATTCATTGTACCACAATTCATTATTAATCAACTTTTATATTTTGCTGAGTGAACTGGGACTATTACCTTATCAGTGATCACCGAGCCTAAAGGCCAACTGATTACGAATGGTCTGTGATTGAACAAAATATATCAATCCCAAAAATAATGACAAAGTTATTACGAAAGAAAATTAATGTGTTAATATACTAAATAGCAATTATACACACAAGAAAAACATATTGGACTTTACCTAAATTGTTAGAAATGGGCATGTTCGAGTTTCTTTTGGTCTTGTAATCTATAATTATAAGTAGTTAGTAATCTCAACTATAGTTGCTATAATCCAAGCTATGTATCCAGATAAAGCATGTAATGAAGATATCACTGTGATCTGTAAACATGAACAGCAGATATATTGAACTTCTGTTATCATAACAGCGAATAATTGAGAACAAGAAGCATATGTGTGCTGCAGTGTATTTATGAGTGATAGTCAATGTTTCAGGCTATGGAGAGTTCAAAAACGGAACGGGAGGTCAAAAGTCATGCTTTTTGAACAACAATTTTACAGTCAATAATGGTAATTGTATAAATTATGAAAATTGAAGAAATGCAAATAGTCGCAAAAACTAATTACAAAATAATTCTATTTTAATTATCTTTACAAGTCGCATACGGGCCTTTTTGAATAGTTCTGAGTGTAATATTTTTTTAACTCTTATAGCCATAAATACAATGATGAAACTTCTTGGAGTAAGTTGTACTACTTAATACATTGGTTGTTTAATGAAAAAAACACTTTACTGATTTCACACTCTAGGGATTAAACGTTATACTGTTTAGTCTTCTGACTAGGTCCTACTCCCTATAGTTTAATTAGTGAGATTTCATGCCAAATAATCTCTACTTCAATTCAGGTCAAGCATTAAACCTTATCTATGTAATGATTATTTCCAGATCATCAACTACACTGTCAATAATCTATCCAATTTACCAATTTTTATATTCATGCAAATTCAAACAGTGATATAAATCAACTCTGAAAACCAACTTCTTGTTAGAAACAATATTGATTGGGTAATCGCTTCTTAAATTTATTTGGTTTTCATATATATATATATATATATATATATATATATATATATATATATATATATATATATATATATATATATATATATATAATGAAATTTATAGATCTGAAGAATGTTACCACATATAATGTGATTTTTGCCAACATCCGGAAGTGCAATATTGTTATGAAGATTCACATGCTTATAACCATTTCCTCTAAGAAATGTTCTTTATTTGCTACTCACATTGCAAAAACAGCTTGTTTTCACATAGTTTGTCCAATAAATATGCATGTTAAGCTTCTGTTTCCTATTATAAATATCTTCTTAAGAGATAAACAGTCAATCTTGTTTTGATTGTAGAGGTTCTCAGGGTTTTAGGTGGTTCACCAAATTTATGCGATAGCGATGGATGACGTGCTTTGGCTTCACGTTTATCACTCACTGTTTTTGGCTTGCTGTTCAACCATCCCCTTATTCATTAAAATTATCTCCCTACTATTTCATTTTGTTTCCGAAATCCTATATGACTATGTAGAGGCAATACTGAAAAAATATAGAGAATATAAGGTGTGAAGTGACAAGCTGGCTGATGATATGCGATAGATGAAATAGCACAAACAGGTCCATGCTGTTTGACGAATCGTTCTTAGTCGATTTCACGCTTTGGTATTTCTTTTTTATTTCTCTATACTGCTGTCAAATCTGTTGATCTGAACCGATTTTATGTATGCCATGAGGCTAAAAGTACTGCGTTAATGAGTTGTAAGGGCTACTAATTACCTCAGACAGCTATGAGTATTAAATAGAATAATACTTAAAACAATGGTCAAACATTTGATTTTAATGAACAGACACGTCCAAGGAAACTAGTGTTTGAATGAACCAACACAACATAATAGCATATTTTGAGAGGTATTTCAGATGGCTTGCGGTTGTAAATGAACCATTAAATACTGAATAGAAAAATTAGCATATATGAACTTAATTATTGGTTATCTACCAAGACAGTATTTTGTTGAGATAATGTAGGATTATGTGTACCAAATAACACTTTTAAGAAAAACAATATTTGCAGAATACGATGGATTTATTGTATTTGATCATTTTTTCGTCAGTCGGTTGTAAATTTATTAAATTAGGTTCATTCGATAAATTGACGTGGGATATTCGCGGGAATACGTTCTCCTCATAGATCAAAAAATTTTGTGATCCGACAAAATTGCCGTAAAAATTAAGGTTTTGAAGGGTATGGTGGTCGGTATTCAATATAATCCTTAAACTTCGTATACTGTTCGTCCTGATAACCGTCGCTAGATAACGCCCCGATGGTGTATTAATCAGAAAGCGAATAAGAAGTGTTGATTAAATTTATTATTGCACCACGTACAGATCCATCAAAATTATAAGTACGCTAAGCAAGCATAAAAGAGTAGTGCCGAAAATCAAGCAGGTAAGCGAGTGTGTGTGCAGGTCGAATGAGCGAGCGAGTGTGAACAGGATTAAGATGTACATATTATATTTACATAGTGAAATGAATGAATCATCGAATCGATTGAGCGACTAATAGTTCGGCTGGCAGAATGAATGAATATATGCGTAGGCAGAAATCAATGCTCAAGCACACATATTCATACAAGTGTAACAATAACAAAGGTACAATGGTATAGATAAGCTGTTATTGCATGAACGACTCTGTCCGTTAAATAAGTTAACAAAAGGGCTTAACCATGTTGAATGTGAACAAACTCAGTTGCACATGAGCTGCCATAAAGGTGTTTCCGTAATTCACTGAAGTGATAGTCACAAAATATTGTAACATAATATGACGGTAAATTTATTCACAACATGGTTGTGAAGAGAGAAGTAAAGGAACAACGAAAAACAACGGGTATTTTTTAGGACATCTCAATTGATTCGAACTATGTAATGTACTAACATTTAGTGTTGTGCCTGTTTTATTCCATGAATCATAAGCTTTGTCTAGCGTATAAAGTTAGTGTCATGTTTTTTATTCTATCCAAAAACTTCAATAGTATAAACGTGACCACTGTTTCCCTTTATTACTTTCTCTCCAATCTCCTAGTTTGTATATGATTGTATTTTTCATATTTCTTGTGAGTTGTGGCCTTACTGGTCATATACTTATGCACGTGCCTTTTGAGTTAATTTAAATCAGGAACAAATCGTATAACAGTCCCAGCTAGATCATCTCTCTTTGCTTGAAAACTAATCAGTTCAACGGCAAAGAAGTTTTCTACTTCCTGACTTTAAAGCCACTCAGTCCCAAATCAAACTCACATGTTGGGGATCTCAGGGTTGTACTAGAGCAAACTATAACGTCAGGGCTGTAATGTAGATAAAGAAAAACCTTGCTCTCCCTGTATATTTAACACAGACTAGCGGACAAGTAAATCTAGAAGGTAACAAATATAAGAAAGCAAAATAGAAAATCGAGTTGAAATCATTGAACAGAAGTCATAATTCTATATAAAAAGAGAATTTACTTCCTAATAAGGTTCTTTTTAAATTGTCTAGACAAATATTGGTTGGTTCCAGACTCTTGCTGAGCACAGAGACCACAGAATTTCAATACAGTAAAGTTGTACAGCTTGTTGACTGCATCGAATACTAATATTGTATCTACCATGTGTTCCATGTCCCACAGGTGGAGCGAGCTTGAACTATAAAGACTAGCATATCCTGACAGGTTTTTTGGGATATGCTCATAAAAACTCGTAGATGTCAGCCTTCCTGTACATTCAATGCATTTGTTTTCCACGTATATGTTAATGAATAAATATAATAGGTGATATCAGGCAGGCACTTGTCTACGTTGGTTTGTTTTACTGCGTTTCTTGTTATGCAAAGTGTTACTAATTTTGATGCAGAATATTTTCTGTTCGGAGATGCTTTAATTCTTTAGTCAATCTTATTCGTAATTGAATCACTATTGAAAATCAGTTGGATGAACATACGTTCCTTATCAGCTAATTTCCTTGAATGGTGGGCACTACCATTTCTGTCTATCAATGAACTATAGTAGTCACCATGTTTGAGACAGGTCCATTTCTACACATTCTTCTTGGAGTTTGTCTATCGAACACAAAGTTTTGGCCCTAACGGAAAGCGACTTCACTAACATATTCCTAAAATCATTTTACGCTAACATTTTGAATAAATTCAACAAATCGGTGAAATGCAATGAGTTCATTGTATCCTGTATTGTTATTTTCGTTTATTTACATTTGTATGTGAACCAACTGCATGAAATAACACATTTCTTTCAGATGACAACTTATAGTGTTCAAACATCACACAGTTATTAACGACAATGTAATTTTTCGGGTAAAACTTTTGCAAATCTGTAAAGCTCATTTCATAACACCTTTGACTTAGTTACAACATCGAAAAGAACTCTTCAAAACCAGAACCATACTAACATACCACCAACTCGCATCTATTTCAACAATTCACAGGTAGCACAATTAGATAAATGAAAAACAATTAATATACGAATCACAGTTTCAACAAAATAATAATCAAAATGGATAGGAATAAGAGTGAGATGCTCAATATATAGGTGTATTATTAACAGGGTCAATAATAGTGTAAAAATACAAAGTTTAAAGATAAGGACAGATCAAAATCTATCATTCAAGAGTTCATTGACACTTTTTTTTCTTCTACTGTAAAACAATTGTTTTAGGGGGGGGGAGAGAAAAAAATCGACAACAAAATTTGTACAAAGAATAATCCACTTTTCCATTAAATATAAATGGGAAGTAATAATAAATTTGAATAATTCATTGAGAAGTAAATAATTCATGTTAACAGTAATGAGAAAAAAAAATTAACGTGTAATCTAATGGAAAATAAGTATACATTGCCACATTAATCAAGAAATATCAAAATGATCATGATATTAATGAGTAGTACAATGTGGTAGCTTATACAGTAAAAGATAACAACAAGCAGTAAACAATAATAGAACAATCGACAATGGGAATAAGTCAAGATAAGGAGACAAACTTGGTAAAAATAAAAAAAAGAAGAGAAATATTACAGGGTTGAATAGACGGGATAATTTATACCTTATTTCATTGTCTGTTATCCTTGGCTGAGAACAACTTTTTTTCGATATACACAGAGGCATTTAATGGATGGTGGGAAATAAACGTCAAATAAACTTTATGAAAATAAAGATGGTTGGAAAAACCTAGGCATAATGTTGAAGAGTGTGTATGATGTGTGTGTGTGTTTGTGTATGTTGGTTAGATTTGCCAGTTTTCTTTACTCTAACAATATTCGAAAAGAGTAAATAACAGAATTTCCGTGTTTTACTTAACAAAATGGGCACTCAAAAAAAAATAATAATAAAACGCTAAAAACACACTAACAACTGAAATAATCGTTTTTGAGAATTCATTGTACATAAAACTTTGAATGACAAAAATAAACCGAAGATGATAATGAACTAGTCAAAATACACGATTAAAATCATTTAGCCAATTATTCAACAAAATTAAAATAACTATGACGACAACAACATTTGAATCTGAAATATTGCAGTGTAGACAAATCTTTCTTGATGCGTGTGTGTGTGTAGAGGGGGGTTGTGTTGATCCATTTACATTATCGATTCATTCACTCATCATGACATGCTGACTTCATGGAATTCGGTGATTGATTACCACCAGTAACGTTTGTGCCTAAAAGAAAATAACGATATCAAAAAATACACAACAGATAATTGAAGCTCAGTAATGTACAATACAAAATTATAACACATAAAAATTCTCTTTCCATTAGTTTTAAAATTTAGATTTAAGTCAAGTGTTAAACACAAATGATGCTTTCTCTAGTACGTTTATTATAACCAATAAATGCATAGATAGATATATAACTGAATAACAATGATCATATATTTAATGATAGTCATGTAATGAAAAACTAACTGTTCAAATCTTGGAAATACATATAAGAGTTTGCATTCAGTTGGTTAGTCAGCTACAACGTAGGACCAGGCACATATATGTATCGGTCCAAGTTGCCACACCTCATAAGCACAAGAAGATGAACACCAAATTCATAGAAGTGGTCACTTCAATGGTGGTAATATATAAAAGAAAGATTGTATATAAGGATATATTACAGGAAGAAAGAATTAGTTCGTAGAAAGAAAGATATGAAATAATTTTAGTCTCATAGTTTAAGGGGAGACAAAGAGTGTATAACACCTATGCCATTGTGATCGATTCTGAGCCATGTCAAACACCGTCTACAACCATTGGTTACGATAGTCACGCAGACTCCAACCAAGTAGTCTGCATCTACCAACATGGCTAAGACTAGAAGTTAGTGACTTCAAGCACTGATGCCACATTTTGGTTTGCCGCCCTTAACTTTCTTTCAACCATCTCCAACACTGGTCAGCATTGAGCGTCGTGTTAATCGGTGTTCAGGCATACGTAAAACGCGACTTGACTTTATAAATGAAATTGGAATTTTAAAAAGTATTAAAATTTAAATATTACGTCAAACTCTGCTCTGTAACAACTGGATGATACAACTTTATTGTTCTCTTATCGCATACCCCAAAAGTACAATAATAGCTACAAAAAGTATATATTTAGAGAAGACTGAAAACGAACAAACTAACACAAGACATCAGTTCAGAAAGACAATGATTGTCTGTACCACTAATTTCTCGTTACGGTTTGAGAGAAAAGAATGTAATTTATGGTTGTGGATCTCAAGTAATACAGCTCAAACTCGATAACGGTAGAGAAGATGCATTCAATCGTTACCTTTCGTTTAATACTATATTGATACGAAATATGGAAATTTCGATCTATATAAATTCATAGCATGTTCTATGCTGTGTGTGTACCAACGTAGTCATTCATAAGCATAGTCAATCATTTGAGTTGATGAATATTTATCATCTGGAAATTTCTGTCAAATATTGGAAATTATTTAACAAAAATATGATCAGATTTTATAAATAATTAATAACATAAAATAGTGCGATAACCTTGTACACATATGCACACATACAATTGGAAACTCACTTTCATCTTTTATACCACCAGCAACAACTGATGCGAATGTATTGACTTTACCAGTTGTAACAACGCCTGGATTACTGCCACTGGATAAATTGACAGTTGTAGCAACAGACGCTGGTAATGCATAAACACCTGGTTGTTGAGGCCCGCCAGTTCGAATACAATTGACATTTTTAGATGTATTACCATCTCCGGTAGAAATATTAACATTACTATTAGTAACATTAGATGTTGGGAGAGAGTTTGAATCGTACGGTGAATTAGGATTCATTGCTACAGATGATATACTAGTTGGTTGATTATTTGTTGAAAGTGGAGATAGTAATCTAAAATAATGGAAGGATATAACAAAAATTAACTGGTGACTAATCCTTTCCTATCCAAACTGACAAAGTAACCGACAGAATCCTATTAGAACTGATAACTAAGCAAGCATAACACTGGTTACTACTCAGTAATCAATCAATGTAAATATATCAAAACCACAGGAGGTTAGACAGCCTGAATAGATGAGTGGTAACGTTTCATACTATGAAGCTAGGTGACGTAGGTTAAAATCCCACAGAGAACTTCAGTTCCCCTGACGGTCGGATTTACACAGTATTAATGAATGTCAACTAGTACGAGACCTAGATCCATGGTATCCTGACGACCATCTTCAACCGCTCAACAACATAATAACTTGGTGTATTTACACACCAATTAGATGTTTATGTACTTCGCTTAGAACCGCGCTGTTTGTCTGAAGGCTGTTGAAACTATTCAGCTGTTCAAGCAAATGTAAATAGGTGACATGCAATTCGAGCCTATGGCTAAAGATTAAGTGTTGCAATCAAAAGGTTACTTCTTCGATAACATAATAGACCGGGAAGTAGCAAGCGGATATTTCTCAAAATTGAAAAAGACTGAATTAATCTGACATAAAATCAAGTTAAACTGATTCTCATTACTGAACAATTTTATACTCTATCCATATGTGCAAAGAGTAGACAGTGTTTCGTATGAATTCACAGAATTTCATTTCAATAGGTCTTTTTTTATTCCATTTCATATGGAGTTGGATGGAACAAATACCAGTTGATTAATTAATCGGTTAGTCTAGTACAGATCAGTATCAGCCAGTCATTAGTAGATCGTTTATTTCAAAATTAATAGATTTATCGAGCTGAATTTCAACCCACTGTTAAACTTATCGAAATTCGCCAGCACTCTTGACAATATCAACCTTCTCAATGTAGATTTATTCTAAATACATAAAGCAACAACCTAATCTGAACACATTGATACAACCAGGCACAACAAATGTTTAAATCTATGAGTAAGAACTTTAAAAAATGCTCCAGAAGATTTAGTCATCATTTAACAAAACGCATAGCAAAACCGTACATATTTAAAAATAAATATATTTCAGAAGAAAGAACCAACTATCCTAATGGATTATCGCTTTCAGTTTCCTCTTTTTTGGATGCAAAAGAATTCAACCTGTTTTAATGATTAAACAGAAAGTAAGTCAACAACTAAACGCTATCATTTTTAATCCATCTCTTTTCAGACTACTTTCATAAAGCTATAGAAATCTTGTTGATGAATGTGTCTATTCCATTGTAGTCATGTAGTTGATTAATTAATGAACTTCAGTGTTACCTCATTTGTGACAGATAAAGTTTGTGTGTGACTGCATCTACTTGAAACAGAGTAACAAACAACTTAAGGTAACTTTAAAATGGCTAACAGCAATTTGGACGAACAGCTATAGTTTAATGATAAGAAACCACTTTAGTTCTAACTATTTAGTGGTAGTTTCAGAATTCGATTAACCTATTTTTTTCTTTTTGAACGGCTGGTTAGTATTATTACTCTTAACACGAAAAATGAATAGTTTAAAGGTGCATCTATCTGTGAATCTGTATGTTAAGTTATATACTTGATGTAATTTTAAATAAAGTTAGTGAAGAAAGAAATGTCTCAAGTATCAGCATCATCATCGTCGATATGATTAGAAATTTACCTTTGAGTTCTTATTAAAACACCTTCACCACCATTGACTGGATCAATAGAGAAAATATGCACAAGACCGTCTAGGCCAGCGACAATTAATCGTGGTTGATTCTGATAGCTACAAATGTGTTTTTAATGAAACAACACAATTAATAACAATGAAATATGAGAAACATGCAGTTAAAAAAAGAGTACGTATACAGAAACCATTATGATCAAGTGCAAAGAGTCATTATTAAGTAATTTTAGATAGACACATATGTATGAAGATTATTGATGTGTAATTGATCAACTCATATTCATTGTATGCTTCAAATAATATTTATTTAATAATAAATCACAAGCGAACTGATCAAATGTTTAATACTCTACAGAGAAAATAGTTTAGTATATATATTCGCGCGCATATAGCTTGCACTTACAAGCCCTATCCTCTAGCTCACAATTGTTGTGAAGCTTTTGTATCAATATAGGATGGACGATCAATCGGAATCTAGAAAACAACTTCAATAGATTCAATAATTATGCAAAATTCGTTTACCCATTTTAATATTAATGTTTGTTTCCCATACAGTATTAAAGGTGTTTTCTGATAGGCTGAAACTTGCCTCAGTTGTTTTTAGTTCGTCCTTATACCATACTCTTCTTGTGGCACACTGATCTGACTCCAGTTTGATCGAATGATAGTGCTAAAGAAATATAGATGGCGTCAACCGTCGTATATATTTATCAGATTAATTCACGTCAGAGAAGAACGGAATAATTCGAATATGAGAATGAATTTCGGATACGCATGTTTCATACATTCGTTAATCCAGACAGACAACCAGAGAAACGAGTGGAAAAAGCAGGCCGGAGAAGGAAAGTGTGCCAACTCACTTTTGATCAAGCGTGACTCAATATTTATAGCCAAACAAAAAATAAGCTAAAGACATGTGATGAGTAGGGTAAGCAATACATACACAAAATTCAAGGTTATGAGCTAATAATTGACAAGGTCAATATATGGCTCGAGATGAATAAATAAGTTGGTCTGTCCGAAAGCTAGAATAACCCATGTGGACTTGACATAGCAACAAACACTACATAATTATCTAACTCGCCATATTCGTATTCTTAATATTGGTGAGTGATTTCTGTGGCCAACATCAGCATGTGATGAGAAAGCATCTTCAAATTATCCATATTAATATTATACATGGTAAACACCAAATAACCACGTAAATTATAAGCGCCAACCCCAACTGGATGTAGCTAAGTTCGACAGTCGGGTTCAAAGTAGGGAAAAACAAACATGGTCGTAAATATTAAACCGAAACTATGTTTCTTCAAGTTACTCCTGTTGGTTACTAATGTTCAATCATAGATTATTTTGAACCAGTATTCAAGCACGACATGACCACTGTGTGAGTAACGGTCAGATTAGATGTAGGGTAATACCTAGATTGGTTGCTTACAATCTGAATCTTAATCGCCTGAGATGATAGAAAATGTGTTATGCATACCCACCATGCACCGCCTACCCCGATACAGACTCCTGGTTGGCATAGAAGCAGGTTAAAACGCTAAGGATAGCTAAACTAAGATGTAACATTAGTTCATTAGGTCGAAGTCAGTCAATCTGAGCCATATCAGGAGTTGCAGATCTTCTTATTGAAGAGTAGATATATTCATTTCTTATTATACAGGACCCAGTATTTATCACATTTATCACTCTAAGTAAAAGATAAACATAATGAATAGAAATGAAGATTTAGAAAAGCCCAAAATATTGATTTGTTATCTCATACTTAACATTTCATATTAACATATTTCAACCGTTTATAGGATGACTGGAAAACAAAGGAAAATCTATCAAACAGTCAATAACCATCAAAGGTAACAATTTATGGAATAAGTCAAAATATATTTATAACTTACTAAACAAGAGCAGCCACTTTCCTTTGCCCAGGTGACAACTGCATTAAACTACCTTGAGGAATTGAAGTTGTCGAACCAGCATAATTAAGATTAACCAACTCTCCGGTTGGAGTCATGGTTACAGGACTACCACTGCCTGGTGGACGAAATGGGCTATTAACTGATGCACATGGTATTCGAGCATATGCAAACGCACGATCCTGAGCAAATATTTCGGAAACTTGATGTGGTAGATAAGCAGAATATGTTTTTAGAGTACTTCCCATCCATCCCATTAAACCTTGACTCCAACTGGCCATAGTAGCTGCCGCTGCACCAGTTGTAGTATTAGTATTATCTAAACCAGCAGTATTTATATCTATACATCCCGGGTAATTTGTGCCAATATCATCAGATGAAGGCGGATCACAATCATCTATAATACATCCAGCAACTTGACTAGCTCCAGAACTAGAAGACGTAGTACGTTGTCTAGTATAGTGATCAGTTTGAACTTCAGGTGTCTTTTCAGAACTACAAAACCAAAGGAAGACGTAGTTGCGTCAGTCTATAAAAATTCTTCAGGGGTTCATTGCGGTCAGTTACTCAATTTGAAAAAAGTGCAAAACGACATAAATAAGTAAGAAGTCAGGATGCGACTTCTTCTGATTAAGATTAGAACAAGATCAGGAATGACAGATTTACATTACTTCACAACCATACAGTGAAAGAATAAGTTCAATGAAGGTCTGAGAAACGACACGTAATAATGAAATGTAAATTATGGAATGTAACTGAGCGTTGGCAATGATTACCAGAAATAAAACAATATCCCTGATGATAGATACTAGTTACCAACAGCAAAATCACTAAAACAGCGTAGACGAATAATAAATAATTATCCTGAGGCTTTTTCTACCCTATTTCAACTGTAAGCAGCATTCAGGCACTCTTTAAGTGAGCGTGTATACTAAGCGAACTGAAAAACACCGCCAATACATACCTGTTAAGATGGAATGTTTATGGAAATCATTCAATCTGAAGTAGAAGGACTACCTACAACATGAATCTTCAAGTATCACGGAGACCAAAATATCGTGCCTATCTATATTTTATTTTGCAGTTTAGAGTTGTGGAGATGGTTGAATTTTATTTAAATCATGAGTCGATCAATGTCAGACCATCATTGAAAACCTGGAAGCACTGGACCGCCGTTTCGTCCTGGTATGGGACTTCCCGGTAGTGCACATTCACGACCCCGCGCATGGGACTCGGACCCAGAACCTTCGTTTTCGCGCGTGGACGCTTAACCTCTAGACCGCTGAGCCGGCATCCAACGGTGTTAATGTCTAACTTCAACCAATCAACGATGTTGCGCGACCATCTTCCATCGGCTTTTACCAAGAATATAAAGACATCTTAGTTTTTAATTTGCTGAAAAAATGATTGGTAGGTTTTCAACATTAGTGAGAGCTGGGTGTAGGACGATAATCAAGGCACTAGAGTCAATAATCTAGGTGGGTTATGGAAGCACCTAAGATTCTAGTCTAACTTTACATTATATATATATCATCTGTGAAGTATGATACAAGCTAACTTGGTTCAGTTACATGGTCTCCTCAGAATTTATATAATGTGTATGATTTGAAAATGTGTGCAATTTAAATTAGCTATGTATCATTTCTTTGCATTCAAATATATATTTACAAGACCATGACTTATTTTCGGATATGAGCATACGATAATTACTTTTTTTGAGGAAGAGAACACTATCTGAAGTCATTTGCAGTTTAAACACTACAGCTTAAGCATGTAAAATAACAATCCTGGTGTTTTACATTCTAGGAGGCCATTCGTAATCACCAGTATAAGTATTTCGAGTTAGGTGGCTCTAATTAGGGTGGATAAAACATCCTTTTGAGTTATTCTGCTAAAATTATTTAACAAACCCATAATTACGAATAAGAGCGACATTGATTACAATGACACAATGACAGAAATCAGTTGTGAATTAACATAAACTCAGTATGATTTACGAATACAAATGTGATGTCTTCTTTGAGGCGTTGTGTTAGCTGAGACAAAATGTACGAAACTGGGTGGTGATCAAAATAAATCAAGGTATTGGACTGCTGATCTGAGTATGGTTCAATACATTAACGTTTTAAGGAATATTCTGTGTTCTGCATGCCTATCCGTTCATTAATGTCTTATCATTTAATAATATGTAGATCATAAAAAGTATGACAGTTAATTGTATGTAGATAGTAGGTACAATAACCGGACTAGCATTATGTAAAGAATGCGCAAGATATCGCACAATATTAAGGGTGTTAAATTACAAGTTACTACTACTGATAATAATTACTAGTGACATGTATATAAACCAATAAGAGATACTACTACACTACACTTGCATATCCTTTGATGAAAAATAAACAAACAACGAATTCACATTTATGCATATGATATGCAATAAAAATGCTTTTGATATATGTTATAAATGCAGAGCGGAGTGAAAAGCACAGTGGATGATTTAAATCACTTACGAACGACTTTCCAATTTGAATATATGCACTGTTTCTGTATGACTAGCGGCAACAAGATATTGACTATTCATACTGAATGATAGAGAGCAGATAGATACACAGCTGAAAGGGAGAAATAACAGTTGAAATACATTTTGTTTTTTTCAACACTTAAATATCTTCAGGATACTTTCAAGAATGTAATTGAGTCAATCAAATCTTCAGAAGCCAGGAAAGTGTTGCAAATGCTTTAATCAATCAGCATTCTTTATAGCGATTCAAGAGAAATCTGAAAGAAACGATGCATAATGTTTCCATTATCCTGATTCGATAATTACCAGTTTTACTACCGATTTAAACGTGATTTCCAGAAGCTTTCAGAAGCTTAAGATCCTATACATGAACTAGGCTTGGTAAAAAGGCTTTTTTACACTTAACGCATTTCGCCTTGTGTTCGGGATTGAAATGCAGAAGATTTTGGAGGTAAAGTCAAGTAACAAGTGTTCAAGTACAAGACCATATTGAATTGATTTATACAGAGGAAACTCTGTTGATGAAATTAGAATAATTGAAAAATTCACTCATATGCCACAAATATTGAATTTGCAATGTAAATAAATACATGTGATCCACAGTATTCAACTACATAGGTATCCTTAATTTACTCGAGTACCTTAGCTTATAGACAATACAATTAAAACAAATGAAGGTTGTCTTTAATCTTCACTCATCAGTCGAAGAAATAAATCAGAGTTCAATAAAAGATATTAAGAATTATATGGACATTTATATAGGGGTTACTAAAAAGGATTCTGAAGGACAGTGAATAAATGAGCAAATAGTGGAAATTCGTGATTTGCTAAAAAAAGTATTAGATTAAATCGAAGTTAGGATCCTTTACTAAGACAGAATGTTAAGTGTACACATTGCTCTAGAATAGAATCTGTTCAAAGTATAAACGAAGCAAAAAAGTTTAGAAAAAAACCCATCAAGTAATAAATTACCCGTGATAAGAAAAATGAAGGTTAAAGCGGAAAGGGTGAGTACATAATACCAAGGAGTCTCATACTAGAATGAAGTAGCTGTCCAGACCTCTTTGGCTTTTAATAATACTCTAACTGAGATTAGTTTATAGCGAATACTATCTACAAATAAAACCAATCACCACGAAACTTCTTCAAAGAAATCATTTTTGACTGACAATAAACTGAGCTTTGTGAAGAGATTTATGACGTTTGAAGTTGCTTACCGTAAAAGATTAACGTTAATTAGAAAACGATTGAACACTTGGTAGCACTAAATAGCTATTTCCTTTTGGTATGAGACCCCTTAATAGCAGGTATCGATGGCCTCCTCTACATATGAGAGTGATACTGGAACTCCCAGGTTTTGTGTGTTGTGAACAATATCATCTTCCGTTAGTCAAACGAAATCCAAAATTAATGAATATTTTACTTACCGAGTAAGTCCACGACGAAATTCAATCACTTTTTCTCCTTGTGGAATAGAAAACACTCGTATTACAGTGCCTTTTTCTGATGCGGTCGCTAATAAATTAGCTCTCGCATTAAATGTAAGACATGCTAGTAGACCATCATGGGCAGCGATAGATGTAACATTCTAAAGTGCAAAAAACATTCAAAGCAAACAAGAGAATTGAGTCATTTAGAAATAACAAAAAAGACTATCTGCGAATTTGTACTTTGAACCAGTCTCCATAATGTGTACAATATTAAGTAATCACTGTATGCCACCTAGTGACTAATTCGGAGATAGATCCTTGAAATTCAAGTGAGAACATCCGTGACTAGTGGAGTTTGATTACGTCATCACGAGTGATACAGATATCATCCGTAATATTGGATGAGGAAGGATTTATAGCACAGAGTCACGTAAGCTGGGAATGTGAACAACTAGTAGCTCAACTTCCAAAGACCATTAGTTCGACTCCATGAATAAAACCACAGAAAAAGCTGGAAAAAAATATCTGAGAAAAGTATATGTTGGTTAGATTGATTGTCACCAGGAGATAAGGATTAGCGGTAAGCTTTCAGAACATACTCTTGTGCATTGATGAATGAAACACTTTAAAGAACAGTTGAATTGATCCTGAGTCACAACCATCTAGTTCACACTCGTTTATTTATAACTTGAATGGGACATAGAATCTAGGTCTCTATTATATCATGGGTAATGATGGAAAATTCAAACTATTGGATTTTGAAATGAAAGCTTATGTAGAGCGTTTTCACTCCGCAAAGTGAGAGGGATATCAAACGATTTTAAGTACAATAAAACTATTATTTATTTATCAACAAACTGAAATGACATTAATTATTGATCAACTTAAGCTGTATTGATTCCATAGTCTGTCCAGTGGCAAACAATCAATTAATTTTCATAGGCAAGAAACAGTTTGAAGAGATCAAATGACTGACATTACCATGAAATCCACGTGAATCATAAGACCAAGAAAATAATATATATATATATATATATATATATATATATATATTTGGCACCTATGTCAACCAACAAAGAGTATCAAGGTAGGTGGTGGTTACGAAAGTGGATATTTGACCAAGATCATGTTATTGAGTTAAAGGAATGAACAAATGAATCACATTTAATCGTGTTCAAAAATTTGGGCAGCGATAATCTTTTCCATGCACTACTCATCTGCAATCAACGTACAGAAGGATCCAAATGATTATTGTGCTTATTTACCAGTCGAATGGATAATACAGAGCGATCAAAATCACAACAGGATATTTTTATTAATTGAAGGATATTCTATCTATAATAGATGTGGTCAATATAATTTTTTGGACAATTATAAAACTTGTCACCACTAGTATTTTGATGCAAAAATTTTAAATAATTTGTGAATATTAAAATAACAACACATTCAAACATGGCATGTCACCTCCTCAATACATCTATGTCGATTGAGAGGAGAGTGAATTTGTATCAAACAAGTTTAAACATATTACTGAAACCGTATACAACAAAACACAATTTCGGAAATAACAGTTACCTAATCATACGGATAAAATGTATTTCTCTTCAGTATGAATCCATAAGACTCGTGATTAGACAAGTCAACAAATAATAAGAAACAGTATGCTCTATATTATAAGTCAATAACTTAAAGAGTTTGCAAAATTTTTAGTTATATGTTCGACGTGTTTTGGTCTCTGAGCTTGATGTTTTCGTTGTGAAGCCTTCATTGTCCTACTGAAAAACATTATCACCATATAACTTACCAAAGACGAGTTAGACATAAGAAGGGTTCATTACATACTAATTATACATAAAATTGCTTCATTTCAGCTTCAACTTCACCCGTTGTTGTTGCAACACACATGATCAAAGCAAAAAAAAGCATTACACAACTATCATTCACATCGTTCGGTAAAATATTTATATTGCTACATAAATACAATGTATTTTCCGTGTGCAGTAAATAACTTTCATTCAGCGAGTATAAAAAAGAAAAGCATACACCTAATAACTCATCTATTTACTTATTTCATGTTATCAATTACTTATCGAAATGGTAAATATATATCTCATGTATTTAGTTAAGCGAAAAATTAACTAATTAGTCAACAATTTCACAAGGTACCTGAATATGAGCCACATATTAGGTGTGAGGAGTAATGATTGACTTAATCAAAGTAGGTGGGGCGGAATTCGAACCTCAGACTTAGCAATTGGAAGTTGGATATCTTAAACACTAAGCCATTATTTATTTTGATAATATTTCGGTCGACTAGGCGTAAATATTTACTCCATTCCATTAATAAAACTAATCAATATATCGACTATCTTTAGGACATACAGTATAACTCTTCCATATTTTAATGAATGTGAAAGTATAAAGTAGACGCTAGGGAAATTTTTAAGTCAATGTTAATCTGATTGTTAGGATATTGTAGGAAGCAATTTCCCACAGATTCAACTCTAAACTAATCTCTAGACTGTCGAATACAGAGTCTTGGTTTGGCCAAAGTCAGAACAAGTAAGCTATTTGGCTATATAAACTTTATCTGTTTCTAAAACATAAATTAACATCGTTAGTGTGCAAACGAACAGTACAGTCTACTAATACAGGGAAAAAGAGACAAATAACCTACCGAACAGTAGCCAGAGAATAGGAAAAATGAGTCAACAAGCAAATATTGTTTTACAATGAACATTAAACTGTGATTGGTTAATAAAGAGATACAGTCGTACAAGGTCAAAAGGAGTTGATGTGGTGGTGGGCGTTTCCCTTTATTATTGGTGGGTTCGTCTATCGATCACATTTTACACTCCCCCCGAAACGCGCACCACGTCCATTGTCCAGGGCCGTCGTCGCCGTCAGACAACCGGCTTCTTCCAGCAGGCATAGGCTTCGCACATCTCTGACGATTTCTTCGTTTGAAGTTCTCAACTTTGCCGTGCGGACTCGTCCGTCCGGGCCATAGCTTACTTGCTCGACTATAGCCTTAGGCCATAGACCTCTATTCATTTCGACGTTACTAACGAGGACTAAGTCACCCGGTTGTAAGTTCTTGTGTACGTCCAACCATTTGTCTCTTGCTTGGAGAGTCGGTAAATATTCTTTTATCCATCTATTCCAGAATGCGGTGGTTAGTCTTTGAGCTTCTTTCCATCTTTTGTTGTATAATAACGTCTTATCCACCGAAGCATCGTCGAATGATAATTTTTTATGAATCAACAACAACTTGTTCGGAGTAAGAGCTTCTAGGGTACCAGGGTCATCTGTCATCTTAACCAGAGGTCTGTCATTCAGTATCCGTTCCGCCTCAGTTAAAAAGGTTTGCAGAGTTTCATCGGTCAACACGTTTTGGAATAAAAGCACTCTTAAGATTCTTCTAATTGATCTTATGATGCGTTCCCACACACCACCTCGATGACTTGCTCTAGGTGGGTTAAAACGCCACTCACATTCTCGTTCTTTAAGATGGTTTTCTATTTTATTAGTATTCCAGGAGCGTATAATCTGTCTCAAACTGACATCTGCACCCCGGAAGTTTGTGCCGTTATCACTAAAAATACGCTTGGACATCCTCTTCTGGCAATAAATCTTGATAATGCGCATAGAAATGAATCCGTATCTAAAGAGTAGGCCATTTCGATGTGAACGGCTCTAATAGATAAGCAGGTGAATAAACAGCCATAACGTTTCTCGACAACTCTACCACGTTTTGCATAGAACGGTCCAAAGTAATCCACGCCTACTTGACTAAAGGGTGGCGAATGAGTCTCTACTCGGTATTCCGGCAACGGTGCCATTAATTGGGAACATGGTTTAGGATAAAGTCTTCTACATAAATAGCATCGTTTTAGAACCTTCCGAACAGTAGAATATCCTCTAACAATCCAATACTTCTCACGAATACTACTCAGAGTTTGAGTAACTCCAACATGTGCGTTAATCACATGATAACGCATTATAATCATATCTGTAACAAAATGATTATTAGGAAGAATAATCGGATATTTGGTTTCAAATGGTAAACATGATAACTGCAAACGTCCTCCCACGCGGATTTTGCCTTCAAACATAAAAGGGTTGAGATTTCTTATAGAACTTTGACGAATTAATTTTTTTCTCCTGTTCACCTCGTCCATTGCTTCTTGACCTTTTTGCTGTCTAAAGGCGTTTTCTCCGAGCGTCAACGGTGAGCTGTTTAGAATTCTTTTTTCGGTCGGGTACGCGACACTTTGGACTAGTTTAATCATGTCACTCTTCGAATTTTCGATATCCTCAGCACTTAGCGCGCCTAAGGTTAGACGATTTCCGTTCCTCTTGTTTAACATATTATTGATAAACCGTCTGCAGTATGAAAATACCCTTAGAAGTCTGGACCACGACTTGCACGTACGAAATCGATCTAGGAACTCATCATCGTGTCTTGGGAGTTCGAAATCCTCTAATTCCTCTTTAGCTGAGAGGTGGTTGAGTGCACAATTTCTTTTACAAGGTTCCCCATAGGAACCGAACAGCGTCCAACCTAACGGAGTCTTCACGGCGAATGGTTCATTCGGCTTTCCAGTTCTTATCTCTTTCATTTCGTGTACACTCGGTGCGCTGCACCCGATCAACAGCTTGACATTCTCATCCTCTACTCTAGGAAAACTTATGTCTTTTAAATGCGTCCAGGATTTCATTTGAGACGTCATTGGTACCGTCCTGCGCAACACAGGTAATCTCTCGACTGTCCATACGTTTGGGATTCTAAATGACGAAGACGAGTCTAAGGAGGAAACCTCTAGTTGAACCTCTTTACACTGAATTGTGGAATGGTTATCCAACGTTTTCAACGAAATCGTCTTAGGCTCTCCTTCTAAATTCAACCTTTTAGCTAGATCTTCTGTAATAAGCGAGGCATCCGACCCACTATCTAAGAAGGCGCAAGTCTGTGCTACCTTTTCTCCATTTCTTACCAGTACAGGCACTATTGCGAATGCTGCTTGTTTCTGTACACTCTCAGCACTTTTCTCCGTACATAGCTGGGTGTTAATGTGTGCATCAATATTAGTATTCCTTGGTTCTTCCCGCAACTCATGTAACAGGGTATGGTGTCTCCAGCCACACCCTTCGACAGCACACGACCTCGGCGATCGACAGCTTTTTGCTACGTGGTTTGCCTTCAGGCATACATTACACAACTTGTGTCTAAGAACGAATTCCTTCCTTTCTCTAACATTCTTGTCTTTAAATTTCTGACATTGATCTAAAGAATGATTACTGGAGCACTCCAAACAAGATGAACTGCGTAAGAGAGCATTATCATCACTAGCACTCGCATAAGATATTCTTGCTGCATTGTAATCTGTACTAATTTTCCTTTTTAAAACGCCAACATCTCTATTGTCACTATTAATACCGCGGTTGACGAGTAGGCCGTATCTAGTATTAGCTATATCAGCTTGCTCCTTTACAAACTCAACAAGATCGGTAAACAGAGGCTCTCTGCCTCCTCTGATAATCTTATAAACTACCTTTAGCCACTCTTGTTGAATGTGCGTTGGTAATTTCAGAACCATAGTTTCAATAGTTCTAGAAGAGTTCAAATCAGAAACGTAATTCATCTGTTCGAGAGTCAAACTACATGCTTGCATTTCTCGAGATAGTCTTCTCAAACCATCTGGTTGATTTCTCCTTATATTGGGAAAGTTTAACAAATTATCGATAAACGTGCGTGCTACGACGTGTTTTTGCCCAAACGTTTCTTCTAAAAGCTTTAGGGCTTGATGGTAACCTATCTCTGGTTCTAGTATAGTACAATGAAGGATAGCGGCTTTCGCTTCTCCGTCACAATATTGAATCAAGTAATTTAGCTTAGCTCTAAATCCAATATTCTCACTCCCAATGTATTCTTCGAAATTTCTAATGAAATTCCAATAATTTGTCGGTGTACCATCAAACCTTATGACTTCTCTTTTTGGTAAATACAGATTTTTTAATATTGTATTCTCACTGTTGCTTACTGATTGGCCGGAACCTTCACATCTCCGGCAGCGTAATTTTTCTAGTTCAATTTCCTTTTCTAACTGGGTTATGCGCAACCTAGCTAACTCTAGTTCTATCATGCTGTTGTTTTTGAGTTCGTTCTTCCCAAGTTGATCCTCATCATAAACTCCTGAATGATGTGGTGATAATTCTGGAATCTCATCGGAATCGTAGTGTTTATTGGGAGTCATTTCAGTAGGTATATCGAATGTACTGTTCGAAACTTTGTAGGAAGCAATTTCCTACAGATTCAACTCTAAACTAATCTCTAGACTGTCGAATACAGTCTTGGTTCGGCCAAAGTCAGAACAAGTAAGCTATTTGGCTATATAAACTTTATCTGTTTCTAAAACATAAATTAACATCGTTAGTGTGCAAACGAACAGTACAGTCTACTAATACAGGGAAAAAGAGACAAATAACCTACCGAACAGTAGCCAGAGAATAGGAAAAATGAGTCAACAAGCAAATATTGTTTTACAATGAACATTAAACTGTGATTGGTTAATAAAGAGATACAGTCGTACAAGGTCAAAAGGAGTTGATGTGGTGGTGGGCGTTTCCCTTTATTATTGGTGGGTTCGTCTATCGATCACATTTTACAGATATAAAGGACAGATAATCGTGTGAATCGTTATTCCATAAACAATACGGACAGTTCAGTTACTTAATAAAAAGGGTTTCCACTAGTCAGGCTTTCGAAATATGTAATTAGTCTTGATTTGAACATCACGTCGCATCCCGAATATTTGCAAGTTCGAAGTGTAAACCATCAAATGTCAATTCAGTAGTTTAAAAGTAACATGCTCGCTGAGAAGATTAAGTTATATCCCTGGGGTAATTGCAGATGTGGGCAATGCTGAGGAGTCTCAAACTAGAAAAAAACAATCATCAGGCGTTCCCTGGTTTCCTAACGGTTTCTCAGATGATAAAAACTATCGCTAAGGCTGAGTTAAGTGTATGACCGAAAAATGGGCGATTTGATAATCCTCGGAGTTTAAAATAAAAATATTAATAACTCCAACATACTTGGAAACTTAATGCATCGAAAATGAAAACAGTTCCAACACGATGAGAGCCAGGATAGGCTAAATAGCAATTGCTTTCATTGGCCGATAAAGCAATAACACCATTTCGGTTAGGTGGAGTTTCTTCAACTTTGTGCAATAATTGCATATCACGCATATTATGAATAAATATTCCATCTTCTACACAAACTACTAAACGCTGTGAAAGGATAAAATGCGAAAATGGAAACAAGAATATATTACCTATTGACCAGTAGGCAAAGCATATAAATACATACTCTTTTCAAATTCAGTGTTTAGTATATTCTATTTGTACAAATATTTTTGCTTTATTAAGTCATCACATTCAATATTTCGAGTCATATGATTTGTGATTTAAAGATTTTAAGAAGTATAAAAAGCATAAACTTTAAGTAAAAACATGCTTTCACCTATTAGAGGGATTTGATATGTAGTAAATAAACCCTGAAAATAATGAGATACTAGTCATGTGATTCACTTAACTCGGACATCCTTCAACATAGCGTACTAATAGGCTGTTCTGCGATCCGATATACAACTCATTGGGTTTTTCAGCCAGTAACACTGACTTGGTTCTAATTACAGGCCTGTAAGTGTAACAAACTTGTTTTCGACATACAAGGTAAAACGTAACATGACGACACTTTTGAGATAATACGTTTTCGGAAAAAAAATGAATAGAGTGGTGACTCTGTGGTAACTTACAGACTCAACATTCGGCCATTTTATAAAGAACACAGAAGTGATATATTTTGTCAATTATGGAATACAAGGGTCCGACCAAAAGATATTGTAACCACTGTGTATATATGAAGATCCTGAATTCGATTTCACATAGGGCTATAGAGGTGAACTGATTAGTTGTCTATCACGGACTATTACGGCCGTGAAGTACATATATATTGGTTATCGATGGCCTTTTCTAACTGTAAACAGTTAATGACGATGAGAACCACATTCAAACTGAACTATTATCAACTGAATTCATAATCTTACACAAACCGGCTATTCCTATCCAGTAAAGCACATATGAGGAACTTAGTAACACTCACCTTAACAAAAAAAACAAGTAATGGAAACAATTGTTCAATTTACCAAGCTACAATATACTGTTAATTATTTTAAAGCACAAAAGGTACATTTACATTTACAATTCAACTCATCTTTACAACATACCTGATGATTCATTTTAACAGCTAATATAGTCAAAGTATAACGATAGTGGCATATCAATGTGTTTATTCTGGAATGTGCAACTAGTAGCCTGCGCATATCGTTCTGTGAGACCAATGTAACTAAGCTTCGATTAAATAATCTTCCAACAATACACATAGGATCACCGGCTATTTGTGTAAATGAAATTTTTTTAGTAAGAAGCACAAATTACTAGAAGAAAATGTCTCAGTCACCTGATCGCCAACAGTTGACAGGAGGCTGTATCCTGTTTTTGTCCCAACTTGAATAGATCTATGGTAAAAAAACACATATACACGTATATACATTGAAGTAAGTTTGATTGATAACAGCTATCACCTCTTGAGTGTAAATTAAGCAAGGTAGCCTTTCAAGTGGGCCACAGGTCCCATATCTTGTGATTATTCCATCGGTCCTAGTGGAATTCTCATTCTTTTCTAAGCAATGATTAAGTAATTTGTGACTAAGGATCATATATCCCGTCATCTTACTATCAACTGACTTAAGTTTAAGGTCGAACGCAGAAGAAAAACCGGTGACTGATAAAGTTTAGCTGTTTAAGAAAATAGAGTAAAATTATACCGATAAACAAAAATATGTGAATACGTGAAATAAAAAGCAATTAAGACAACGTGAGACCAAACAGACCCAACTATCGCTTATTTAGTATTAGATAAATCCAACTTAACAAAGTTTGTATGCTAGGGTCTGAGCGAAACGCATAATGTATGTTAACAATGCTACTCAAATATTTAAACTCCGATGGGTGTTGATAAAGTTATAGAATTATATTCTGGATGATATATATCGTGGTTTCGTTTGCAGCTTTAAGTAGACAGTAGTTTCGATTTTGCGATATTTATTGAAATTAACCAGTATCCGGCTCAGTCTACTACTGATAGTGACGGGCTGTTATAACTCTAACAATAGATGATAAATAATGGAGAGAAAATGAATGAGGAACAGCCAAAAACGGTAGTTGTATGCGAATAGCATTGTAATTAATAGTTATGATACAACAGAAAAAAATTACTTCAAATAATAGGATCATGTAATGTTAACTAGGAAGCGGTTTTGTGATGAGTCAAATATGATACAGTAGATGTAGAACTGGAAACATTGACTACTACACTTGTGCTGAGCTGTATAAAGTAAGGAAAGATAAAGCTTGCCGAATTATGACGTCGAAACATGTTTGTTTTGTGACACTTATTGTGTAAGTCAAAATAAATAAACCATTTCTATAACCGAATAGTCTCTAGAGGCTGATAAGCTAAACTTTTTTCTATGATAAAGAACAAAATCACAGCAAACGACGTATCACAGGTCACGGTATTCGCTTACTTTGGGTTTGTTAGTAAGACAGAAACCAACATTTATTGAAAATTGTAGTGCTATGTTGTGTAAAAAGTTAAGATAAACATGCATTTGGTTTGGAAATGCTGGATGAATGCGTAAAACCCCCTCACTAGGCAATTTTTATTTTTTACGTTGAGTACTCGATAAAAACGCTAGTATTATAAGCAGAGGAAGTTTGAAGCCCCTATGAAGATTTAAAATTAAGAACTTTTGATATGTGAAATAAGAGCTTTCTGGATAATATTACAAATGAGAAAGTGCTAAGAAAGCTATGAGTAATTGTTAAGCACAAAACTAAGTAGGAGTATTTATCTAGAAAATAACTACTTATCCATAGAGGGTATAATCTATTCTGTCACACTTGTCCTAAATAGTAACCAAGTAAAACCTCATCTACTCAGCTTTACCTAGAATATTTCCTGTGAAAGCTAATGGTATCTCATGGTTACAAAATTGTTGTTATCATAGGAGATGACACCAGTATGTATCGACGTTAGTTTCAGAAGTCCATGAAGATTTTAAACTTTCTATATAATGACTGAAAGTACAATACTAAAACTGTTTAAGCTAGACTAGATTCATGTCCCCAAATGCCCTGGTACAGCCGAGAGTGGGGAGAGTCCGCTCTCCCTCCCGAAATGCTCTCACATGGCCACGCGTATATAGCCTCTGCCAGGGAAGTCCTACTCACTGCCTTCTCGTGGCGGGGGTGTTGTTTACAAAAATGAGAGGACGAAAAGCGAATGTCCGGCGCTTTAACCGGATTCCAAACCAATGGTGCACATGGGCTCCAGTATCCTACAGGAACGAATGGCGTATGAACCAAATGTTGGTCACCGGCTTCCATGGGACTGCATCTCCTTACGATGCTCCACTGCCTTGTGGATCAGACCTTCAGGTCGAAGGCTCGGGGAGTGGCCTCCTAAGGAAACCATCTGCTTCGGTTTAGGCAACCGGGCAGTATCACAGCCCTCACACATATCGAATGAGATTTGTGTGGCGCATATGCATTTGGTGCCTCCTTGTACCAATATCTGTGTTAAAATAAAAATAATAAGATTCATGAAGCGAATAACCGCCACATATCCGAATTATCGTTCTACAACATATATACCTGTATGCTGAACCGAAATGCTAAAACTACATGAATATTATATAGGATGATGTGGCTCTAAATAACCATGGGAATTTACGGAGTTGCATCTCACCCATATATGAATTGATTGACATTTACTAAAACTTGTTAGTCAAGTCCAAGTTTATGTACTCAACTTTTAAATGAAGTTTTTTAAAGGCTAGCTCGTTGAGAAGGTATAAGGAATACACTATGAACGTGGAGCTAGATATCAGTTCTATGACTTCCTTTGCATAGGCCTTGAAGTTATTAAAAACACGATTGAAGTTTTTCGCCAGTTAAGTCAATAAGTACTTATTCATAAATTCTTAATCCTATCTCTTCAACTCTAATGTGTTTTTGAGGATTTTATAAAGAAATCGAGGATGCATAAATTGATTTGTAACTACGTGAAAAAAACCGAGAGGAGATAAATGTATTGTATACGTACGTATAATCTTGGTTAAAATCGATAAACAAGATTGGGGAATTATCATCATGACGGTTACAAGCGACATTCATAATCTATTGTGAATCAAGGAAGATGATCAGCTGACAAAGAGAAGCCCGCCAAACAATTTAAACCGTTAACATAAAGCACAAGGTCAACTTACTGGATAATGTAACACAATAGAAATATCACTTAACCAGCTTCTATGTCCTTTCAGTATATTTTTTCTCACACAACTGTTTAATATTCGTTACTATCAGTTATCCGCATTATTTAAAAGTGAACCTTTCTTGTTTACTAAGTTATCTGTCTCCTATTCTTCCAAATCTCCTCACATATGCTGCTTTTAGTACTCCTTCAGAACATAATTTATCTTCAGGCTAGACGCGAACCTATACATACTTGCGTTTCTTCTAAAACTACAAAAGTAAGCTTCAGGACTAAGAATGCACCTGAAGATGCCACAGGTATTCGGAGTTTGACAACGCTTTGAGCAGTAACACCTAATGTGAGTCGTACCCACCAAGTGAGACCAAAAGACAGAAGCGAGGAGGTTTGAAGATATATTTAATAGGCTATCAATATATCGAGGATCGTCTGATCTAATCTGGCTAGCGATTGCAGGGGCTGTTGAGCATGGCGTTCCCACTCGTGATCTGGTGTGGATGCATGACCGAGTGCCTTCAGCTAGGTGAGTCCATTAAAACTAATGTGGCCAGCATCCAATGTCGAAAACTTACAGAGCTATTTATTATGGGGATTTATTCACCGCTACACACATATAAACTGCTTTCCCGTAGATAAGGCATGAAATAAAGCAGGAATTTTCCCATAATTATGTTACACTATTTGACGGTCACATCACAACAAATCTACAAGATTTTGCGTGAATTTCACATCACTGTCCACAGGGACTCGTTGCATCATGACAATCAGCAATATGATGTTAGGCACTTAAGAAGGACATATTCCGGCTGTGAATAGAGCGATACATTTAACGTGGAATGGTTTGGGTTACGCTATGCCGATTAAGTGAATGGATGTTTCCGCGTTCACAATTCCTGACCTTCTCTTAGCGTTACACGGTTGAAAATGAACCTTCTCAGTAATTATATGACCTGACACTCCTCTGGAACATCTGAGGCACTAATGATGACGCAGGACGACGTCGCTCGCTCTACATGTGTTATCGATGGCATATTTTGGGAGGACTAAAAGAGCTCTAGCTCCTGTCCGGAGATTTTGTCCCTCTCAGAAATTATGACGTCACAACTCTCTATGTTAGTCGCTCCTCGAACCAAAGATATATTTTGTAGTTATCGGCATCCTGAAATCTGGCTTGTCTGGAGACACATGTTCATCTATACTTTGATGATGTATTCTCTTTGGCTAACTAAATACGTAGAATGGTCTAACTCTCTGGTTAACATTCTTAGAAACGAGGAAAAGCCTGAAGCTAGACGATTTATTGGGGTTTTGAAGGGGGAATAGAAGGTAGTAACTTTGGTTGTTTGTCTTACTGATTAGATAAGAACAAACCTACAGTTGGTTCCTAATCGTCTGCTATGATGGTTGTTCAGAGGTCCTCTTCTTTCAGTAATTGTGTGGACCACACATTTAGGTCGGCAGGCCACTTCAATTTCAACAATCCCGTACTGAGGTTTTGTTTGTAGCGCTCAATGATCCAGGAATTCAGAATAAATTGCGGATCGATATTTCTGGTATTCTCATATACGTATTTGCACAAAGTCATTGAGGAATTTAGTACTTCAATGACAAATATAAGTGTGAAATTCAATAACGTATACTTGGATGGTATTTACTGTAACAGGTAGGACAAAAACTACTATAGGATTACTTAAAAAGTAAAGAACTAGGTTTTCCACATGTCAGAAGCAAAGTTATGCTCACAAAGAAAATATAATTGGAATGGTCCGAAGATTTTCAAGCACAAGCAGTCACTAAAATACAATGATCATGTCAATAAAAAATGTACATAATTACCTATTTGATGCAACACTTTTGCCTACAGTTTGGAAAATGCAGCTTCCTTACATTACGAGGAGAAGCTAGCTCTCTTTTCGCATTCGAACTTGACGTGACCTCATTGATCTCTCACCAACAATCAGAAATATCCACCTTTTCGTTACCCTACTAAAATATTTACTCGCTTCCAAATACACGAACTGCGTCTTCACCTTGCTGGCAGATAACTGCAACAAATATGACCATAGTCATTCCAAGGCTGAACCATGGTGGTACAGGTCTTGCTGTTTCTATCAACTGCTTTCTTCCTAGTCACTTCAGCTGCAACATATACACATTCATTTTCCTGTAAACATAGGACTTGTGGATAGGTTACTGTTTCACTCGACTTTGCGTGCTAAACTGGTCAACGATAACGTGGTAATTTTAAGTTTTACAGATTTTGTCCTCGTATAGCGAACATTCACTTATCTCCATTATTTTCCTCCTCCGAAAATTTCGTCTCGCGTTCTTCCTCCATTATTTGTCTCGAATTTTACATTTCAGTTTATTTAAACGTATGCACAATAATAGCGTTACCATCTCTTACACTATAACTAGAGAGACGACTAACAGAATTAGAAATCTTAATTCATGAATTAATAATAATTTTTCTAGTAACAGGATTATAGATAAAACTGAAGCCGACACATAAAAAAGAACCTACGAATAATTTGTACAATGTGGATCACTCAACTCAACTACCGAAACTAATTCTCCCACTAAGCAATCAGGATAACACTCATACCCTGGTCCCTATTTCTGAAAAGCCTAGCAAACAAACAAACTTGTCGAAATTGGTATCCTGACTTGCCTGTGTTGCCTGATACTACTGAGGAGAAATGATTAAAAACGATAATTTTATCTCATGCTCGTCGCTCGTTAGAACATGTGATTCAGCTTTTTAATGTAGATTATATAGTGGCTGAGAACCCCGCCGTTAAGGTACAGTATTGCGCAGACAGTACTACAGGTTTATGTTAATTAACCCCTATTCGTGGTTCAGATACATCTGCGCACAGTGAAAAGCAAATACACCAGCGGAACTAACAAACAGAGGTTTAAGACCATATAAAAATAACCTTAGCCATCTCCACCAGTGTACCGAATTCGTCCGACAAAATCTCAACCAAACTCGCGACCAAGGGAGCTACAACATTGGCTAATACACCAAGGAAACTAACGACGGTTTCTAACACCCCAGTATCTATCGAAAGTAAGGAGAAATGTATGGGCGTTGGGAGGGGATATATCAAAGCATAACTCCCAAAACGCTGAAAAAGGAGGACAAGGACATTATATAAAACTCCCTGATTTTAATTATTTTTCTATTGTCGGAGAGTAGCTTAGTGGAACGTGTGATAGTCTTTGATGAAAAAACAGTGGGGCAAATACTGTCCATTGCTGGGAATAGTCATCACTTCACCTAAGCTATGCCGCTTTTATAAGGTCCAAAACGTATCAAAAGAACCTTCTCCTCCCACTAAAGGTTACTTTAGATTTGGCATACGTCACAAAATATCTTTTGCTGACATGCCGAAGACCATCGGTTAAGCAATCTCATATCTTATTTGGATACCGCAGACCGTGGGCCCTAGAAAACTACTAAACATCCAAGAAACAAGAACGGTGGTTCACGGCGTGCCTGAACTGGTAGGCAGTAGTCGGAATGAAGCCCATGGAAACGATATGCGATCTTGGCGTTGGCTATCAAGCAGCATATGAATATTGTGATTAGCGTGTCCAAGCTATCTCATCCGCTACGCCTCACGGCCAATAAGTCTCCTCATCTGATGGATGCAAACTTCGGAAACCGAGAGGACTTACCTGGGGTCCTTCACATTTGTTACAGCTCACAGCTCACAAGAGACCTCTTTAGTCAGCAGTGTAACAGCAGAGAAGCCCGATCAAACACACTTTGATGTCAAGTGACCTTGGTCAACAACTCACCATACAGAACCCAGAGACCATGGACTCGATAATGGAAATCGTTATACAGGCGAAAATCTACAGTGGCCACTTCGCACAAATCTGGCTAACATACTTCAAACAACAATCATCTTAAAGCTCAGAAGACAGATGCTGCTGTAGACGAACACCAGGGGACTTCAGAAACTATCAAGTGCATCCGAAGCAACGTAAGGTGACTAAGGGATAACTAGAAGAGGTCAAAAACATTTGATTTTGGTTGGAACTGAAAACATGGCCATCACCCAACACCTTTAACGAAGACGTGAGCTCACAAAACATAACACTCTTCTCATACGATAGGATACACAAGCAGGTGGAGTAAAGTTATACAATGACAGTCACTTTAAGGCCGTAACATCACGGAGTATCGGATTAACGAGGTGACAGAATCACGATGGAATTTCTCCATGAAGTTCTTGATTTAAAGAATACACTGACCTCCTTCGGGTCCTAGAACCCAGAAAGATTAGAAAATACAAGCGTTACTAGCGATACAGGCGTTACAAAACCTGAGTTTTAACTAAATAACTCTGGCTAGAGACTTCATTACTTTATCCCTAAATCTCAACAATCAGGATACAGTATTTGTATGGCGATACCATCTGAGGCTCATCACAACAATAAAATGTTTAGAAACGATTGGACATATGGGCGCTGCCACGAGCTGAGACAAGGACGAAAAACCCTATAACTTAGATTACTTATTGATAAGTGATTAGCTTCTGTTTGAGGATGTCCATGTCCACTCACCAGTAGGAAGTAGTGACTTTGGTACAGTTACGTTTGACGTGATCGCATACGACATTCTTTGGCTGGACGAGAAGGTTCTCCACCTTAGCTACATCAGAGCAGACTTCAAGATGATCTTGCCTGTTAACTGGCATGCCTCATGTAACAAACTGTTATTTGAGAATAAAGTATTATTATTATTATTATTATTAAAAATCTTCAACACGTCACATGGCCTGGAGAGTGATGAGGACTAATGGTGGTTTATCACCAGGAGAAAATAAGACACATTATCCAGAATTCAACTCTACGTAATGTATCTCAGGGCAAACACATATACTGAAAGCAAAGATAAAGGATTAAGTGATTCCCGAAACGCTAAACACAGGCTAAATGGAGAGGCTG